CTTCACATTGTAAAATTAATTTGATCTGATAAATCAAACCGACACGAATTATCATATCACGCCAGGAAGGCAGTATAGTACTTTACATCTTTGCACCACTGTGTGCCTGGGCCTAATCAAGAACACTTTTTTCTACAATTCTTCCACAATATTCTGGAAGAATTCTGCTAAAAGTAATGTTTTCCGATTCGTCTTATGGACAGCAATTGAATTGATCACGTCTGCAGTTCCCTTAACCCCACCCCTCCAAAAGAAGGCGTTTTGGTTCGTGGAACATGCAAAAACGGGTGTTTTTCCGAACTTTCTCTGACAATGTTCTGAAAGGGGGAGAAAATGCGGCCGCTCCCCGCCAGAAGAGGAGACGCGCAAATGGCGCCCAATGGCAGCGGAGGTCTGCCCGCGAGTGACGGACGGGAGGTTCGACTCAGGAGCAACGCTGCCGATTTATTTATTTATTTACGTCAAAAACAGTTAAAACTGTGTGTGACGTACTATGCGGAGAAGTTAATTTGAAAAATAGATTTATGTTCGGAAGCAAAACAAGGGGCCATCTCAGCTTTTGCTCGCGGATCAGGATCACTGCGCCACATCGCTTGGCGCCTCCCGCGGAGGCCTCTCGCACGCAGGGGCGGTCCAGCCGGTCCTTGGGAAGGGGTTCATATATTTCTGTTAAATAATACACATATTTGTTTTTATATTTTGTTATTTTTGTAGTGTTTATATGATACTATACAATATTATTTTTAATAATTGCATAATTCTAACATAAATATTTTCAAAACTCAATTTTGACAAATAAAAGATGGTAATAAACAATAACTCTAGGCCTTTGGGGAGGGCATTGCCTCTATGTCCCCTCCCTCCCTCTATCTGCCATTTCTTGCATGTTGAAAATTTTTATTGTGCCAAGTGAAATGCCGCCAATATTTCAGTCACAATTGCTTGAAAACTACTCGGATTTAAAAATATTCATGACGTTAATAAAAGAATAAATTGTGGAAAACAAATTCCATTTTAAGAAAAGTACCATCTGAAATGTAGTCGCCGAAAAAAACATGCATACTTTGGTTAATTCAGATTTTTAAGTAAAAATTGAACCTGCGAAATCTATATAACGGAATTTCACTCTATTTTTGCAAGAAATGTTGATAAAAAATTTGGAGCCGTTTAAAAAAAATATATCAATATCTCAGGGCTTTAAAATTAAAGAAAGTTTTCGAAAATCGCAGAACTTTTGAGTCGGCCCAGATTGACCGAGGAATATTCATTTTGGAAAAAGTCTTATGAATATTTGAGGTGCAAGCATTGTTCACAGACGGACGGACAGCGGGCAGTCACTGCAGACAGACATAGAGTGTATTTGCGTTGATATCTCACAATCAATTTTCCACAGCATTTTCATAAGTTTCTCTGCTTACATTAATCACTATTTACGAGAACGTAAAATGAAGTTAAGCGACGTATTTTCCTTTTGAGAATGATTTTACAAGAGCGTTTATGAATCTTGAGAGCGGGAGCCGCTATTACGTCGTTCTATTTATTTCTTGCGTGTTTGAAATCGTAATGAACGCGGTGGAATGTTCCTTTGGTTAACAGTCAACTCCGAGCCGCGAGCCGGCTTGATTGGCTGCTCACTTGACTTCTGACCGGAGCGCAGGCCGCAGCTGGCCGCGTGCCGTCCCGGGCACGTCGCTTGGCGGAGGCGAAACCCCACAGCCGCGCTGCGCCGAAAGCAACGGGCGACGGGCTCGCGGAAGGGCAAGGCCCATTCACAGTGCAAACGTAAACATGAGCATAACGCGTAAACGTAAACATTAACGTAAGCGATAGACCGAAGTATTCACAATGTCTAACATAAACGTAGGCAAAATAAATTTCTATTGGCTGTGAGACATTCCAGTTTACAATTCGTTGGATGTGAGAATCGATTTCGAGCTATCGACTATGTCCATCGCCCAAATGGCGATAGTTCGTCTACCAACTTCGATGCTATTTCGATTCTCGATTTTGAGTTAACGTACTGTGACTCGTTCATTTCTTATACCTTACTTTAGCATAAGCACAGAAGCTTGAAGCTTGCAAGCTTTGAAGTTAACATCTTACACGTTATGCTTATGCGAATGCATTGTGAATGAGTCCGCTTATGGACGTAGTCCTTTCTTTTGTTAACGCCATGCTTATGTTTATGTTTGCATCGTGAATGGGCCTTTAGAGTTGAACCGTCTAATGAGTTTATAAGTTAATGACACACCCGTCCAACTAATACTGTAAACCAAGATAAAGAGTAAACCAAAGTCTTCCATTTCCGATGGTTGGAAATCGACACTTTTATTCGATTGCAATCGTATTGGCATTGAAATCGCTGTATCTATCGATATCACCTAATCATCAGGCAACCTGCGTGTGTCCATCCGTACGTCATTAGACTGATTCAGGATCACTATTTGGTACAGAAAAGTGTTATTTGACGCGTCTCAATCTGCTGTTGGGAACCCTGCTACTTTTTCGTATCATTCTAAACTTTGAAACTATAAAAACATATTTTTCAAATTGTCTAAAGTGTGGGAGACGTCAGATTAAGCTAGTAGAGAGTATTATAGAATCAAAAGACCGTAGAATCGATGCCGAAAAAACGTTGTTATGTTAAATAGAAGATATTGTCCGGTATCAACAATTTTATTTGGCTGATAATCGTTTCGATCGCGTAGCGATCATCCTCAAAGCTTGCAGCTTCCAGGCCGAAAACAAAGTTCAGCCATCTAACGTTAAGTGTGTTCTCTTTCTACACCTTTTTAAAATCTTTTAAATTTTGTTGCGTCTTTTTCCCAACTACGTCTCTCGGCCATTGGGCATTGAGAGTAGGTATACTTGGAGTAATCCTCCGTTAAGTTTTGTCTTTTGTCTCGTAACGTCCCATCCAGTAATTGTCTTTTATCCCTTCAGGGACTTCATGTGCCTTCTCTGCAGAACATGGGATACATTTTTTTATTGAAATGAGTTAAATATGAGATGTTTTTGGAAATAAATGTGAATTAGAAAATTGGTGTTTTATTTTAGTACAAATATTTAAGAAAAGTAACTTCGAACATGAAGTAAAAGGAATTCACCACACATTTTCTAAATTCTGTGTCGATACCAACCAGTAGAGGAATTGTAAAGTGAGTTCTATGTCGTCATATCAACACTGTTCTATCGATTACAATTACCATGCCCAAATCTAACAAAGTTAGAACTATTCTTTTTTTAAATATTGGAATGCAATTTTGTTATTGCTTTGATTTTTGAAATCAATGTATAGGAAGAAATCAGCCCACAGAACATTTTGGCAAATTATTGATGGAATATTTTAATACAATATCTGTGCATCCTGTTGAATTATTTAGTTGTACATATACATGTTGTTTACAATGAAACTGAATTTTCGTTTTAATTGATCATTGAATATGGTTTTCCATTACATTGAAATAGATATTAGTCCCTTTTCCCACATCAGGACCTACCTTTATTCGCAACGCTAGTGTTCTCCCATTAAAATTATTCAGAAGCTCGTGGTATGTCCACGGGTATGTACAGCCTAAAATCAAATGGCAGCCATATTTATGGGCCTCCTCTTCCATTGACCTTCTTTATTTACATCTGGCGAACGTTGTTGCCAGATCACTTGGAGGGCCTCTCCCTCACATCTAGAATTTCCCGAAATGACATGCTCACGAAAAAAAGAAGAAAAAACTGAAGGGGGGGGGTAAATCGGGGATTGAACAATGAAAGGAAATAAAACTTGTTACTATGTTAGGTTCCGAGCCCCTTTCAAAATTTTCAGGGGCCATGCTTCCCTGTTCACATGCCTATAAAAGGGTTGTTTGTCGATAAAGTGATACCAGAGATGTATCTAGGGATTCAGGCGCCTGTGGCAAGCATAGAATTTGTGCTCCCTATCAGGGTACTTCAAATTAGGGTTGTTATTTGTTTTCGCGTGTAAAATCTAAATAGCACCCCTATGAGTGGCTCCCATGGCACGAACCATGACTGCCACACCGTAGATTACGTTGTCAAATGCCAGAAAGCTAGTGAAAGGGAGGGGCTAATTCTGGAGTCGGTTTAAGGTTTTTGTTTTGCAATTAATATATTAAATAAAAAATATAAGAATGTTTACCTGCAACGATAACGATAAAGGCGCTTATTTTAAGGTTTTCGGGCAGGGGCTATAAAAAAAATAAGCGCGACCCTGCCAGGATTCGAACCTGGAATCTTCTGATCCGTAGTCAGACGCGTTATCCGTTGCGCCACAGGGCCGTACTACATCTCAGTGTTAATTTCAAAACTCATACAAAATTTTACATACTTTCATCATATGTGAAATAATAATGATATTGTTTACTACATTTATTTCTTTATTAATGTAAAACATAATATTGCTTTACTTGTCGTGAACAATTTGAAAATGCTTTTATAACCGTATAAATGACGAGAATGAAAAACGCTTTTCATTGTTATTTATTTTGAAGCATCAATATAATATGAAATTTTAACCACGTTTAAGCCGAGAGGCAGAAACTACAAACAAGATATTCCCCTTCCTTAAAATTCAAGATCATTGCATCATTTCATTTCTGCTTTCTGAGAATTAACAGAGCCCTGGAGAGAGGGTACGCGTTTACTCTCCCTTCTCCTGTGGCTGCGAGCCACCTCCCCTCTTCCCCCACCACGACGCGCAGTGACGCGCCTGCGCAGCGCGGTTTCCTGCGCCGAGCCGCCGCCAGTGCATAGAAAGGGCAGTCGCGTGAGGGAAGGCGGAAAAGTAGTAGTCGGAGACGCGGCGGGCGTGCTTGGGGGGCAACGTGAGTGTGTGAGTGGCGGACGTATGTCTTACGAGCGGATGAACGGACCTGGTAAATAGTGAGCATTTTACAGTGAGTAAGGCGTCTTTTAAGCGCCGAAACGAACGCGCAATAGCAGTGAATTTATAACTCGAGTGGACCAGTGATTAGCCGCACGCCATCATGTTTGATGTTTTCGGCTCCGTTAAGGGGCTTTTGAAGCTCGATTCTGTGTGCATAGATAACAATGTGTTTCGATTGCATTATAAAGCGACAGTAATCATTTTGATCGCGTTTTCTTTACTGGTCACGTCACGACAATACATTGGAGATCCAATTGATTGCATTGTGGACGAGATCCCTCCAAATGTGATGGACACATACTGCTGGATTTATTCGACGTTCACCATTCCCAACAGGCTCAAGGGCGTTATTGGCAGGGACGCTGCTCATCCTGGAGTTGGGAACCACGTGGAAGGCGTCGATGAAGTTAAATACCACAAATACTACCAGTGGGTGTGCTTCGTCTTGTTTTTTCAAGCCATTTTGTTCTACGTCCCACGTTACCTGTGGAAAACATGGGAAGGTGGACGCATTAAGATGTTGGTTCTGGATCTCAATTGCCCGGTGGTTAGCGAAGAGTGCAAGAATGACAGAAAGAAATTGCTGGTAGATTATTTTGCTACAAATCTGCGCACACAAAACTTCTATGCAATCAGGTTCTTCATTTGTGAAGCGTTGAATTTCGTGAATGTTGTAGGACAAATTTATTTCATGGACCTGTTTCTTGATGGTGAATTCACAACATACGGCTCAGAGGTAGTGAAATTCACGGAGATGGAACCAGAAGATAGGTACGATCCTATGGCTCGTGTGTTTCCTAAAGTCACCAAATGCACCTTCCACAAATACGGTCCTTCCGGTTCGGTGCAGAAGTTCGACGGCCTGTGTGTGTTGCCCCTGAACATCGTCAACGAGAAAATCTACGTCTTTTTGTGGTTCTGGTTTGTCATCTTGTCTGTGCTCACCGGTCTCACGCTGGTGTACCGAGCCCTTGTGGTCATGGGCCCCCAGGTCCGCATGCATCTGCTGCGCGCTCGTTCTCGTCTTGCTCCTCAGGAGCAAATTGAAATTATTTCACGCAAATGCCAGATTGGCGATTGGTTTGTATTATATCAGCTCGGTAAGAACATCGATCCCCTCATCTACAAGGAATTGGTTGCAGAATTAGCCAAGAAGTTAGAAGGAAAAGAAACGGTATAAGTGATCAAGTGCCTTTTCTCGTTAGCGAAATTTTTTCGAGATAATCTCTATTTTAGAGAAGAATTATTAGTTATGAAGGCAAATGGTGTATGTGTTCATTCCTAATTCGCCATTTAGATCTTTGAAACTGAAAGGCGGATTTTGTAAAATACAGTTCGTTGGAATTCCTGCTCGGAATACTCAACTGTAGACTACTCAACTTTGTCTTCTATCCTTGGCCTACACGCACAAAAGAAATATTTTTATATGCTTTTACTTGTAGGAAAAGGGACCAAAACATTCTCATTGCATACCAACGTTATCATCCTACTCATCAGGAACTGCATACTGCCTTTTGGAGGAAATGTTGGTAGTGGTGCAAGGGAATTGCATTTGCTGTTGGCCAAGGATGAAGCAATGGAGAGTGACCTAAAAGAATTGCTGTGATGTGCTAAAGACTGGTAAATAAGAACAGCGATTGCCTTCAGCTTGTCACATTGTTTACTTTGGTATCCACTTTTGTGGGCAGCCTACACATGCAAAGGAATACATGTGTAATTATATTGATATTTACTGGTGGTTCTAATGTGCATCAATGCCAAGTCATTGTTTTTTCCTTTGCATCTTCATTATTTGCTCTTAACGATAGCCATTGCATTTTGCTTCTCTAGGTTATGTTACATTTTTCATGCATTTGAACTGCCAGAACTCTTATTTTGTTTCATTCTGCTGTCCTTTTGTATACATATTTATTTAATTTTGAGTACATTTCTTTCACTTAAAGTCAGTGTAGTGCGAAACATGCAGAAGTATAAAAATATTGTTACCTTCTGAGGTTACATTCTTATTCAAAATACATTTACTTGTGGATGAAATGTTTTTATTGAACATTCTTGTGCATTTTTCATGAAGAGGATCAAATGGTGTGTTTTATTGATGTTTTTAATGAAAGTTCATTATGCCATATTTTCCAACCTGCTGTTGTAACTTTAACATTCCAGTCGTAATACACATGACATTCAAATCATTGTTTTATTGGAGGTTATCATGTGATGCAAACGAGGTATTTTTACCTTGTAACGCACAGTGCATTTGTAACAACAACGATGTGCATTTTTGTAGTAGCCAAATGTTGCCTAGTTTGATATTTAAATTGGGATCAAATACTGTACAAAATGTAAAGATATTCCATTTCTGATATTGAAAGTTTCATTCCAATCTTTTTGAACATTTTGCCATTCCAAGCTCGAAATGTATTTGTATTGTTTGGTATAATGTGTGTTTATATTATGAACATGTGTAACCAGTTACTTGGTTACTTATTTTGTTGTTTACGGGCTAAAGGAGGAGTGGAACTTATGTGCCTTGAACAATAATGTAAAAATATCATAAAGTCTGATACAGTGATGCCAAATTATTCTTTGAAATCACAATTTTACAGTGATGCAGTAATTTTACTGTCAGTTTGCAACAAATTGCTCATATCTATGTACAGTCAGAAGCCTGAAAAGAATTGGAGATATTATTGTATGAAGTATGTTTTTTAGAGTAGCTCAGTATTCAGTGTTTACATATTAATTTTAGGGTATGAATGAATGGCAATATTTTGTTATGGTATATTTTTTAGGCTGACTGTACGTCTTCCATTTGTGAACATTCCTCATATCACTTCATATCTTTGGATACAATAATATACATTTTGTATAAATCTCCGTATACAAATAAATTCTCAATGCTTAAAAATTTGTTTTTATGTTTTGGTTGTTTATATCCTTGCCTGATAGAATAAAATTTCCTTTTAATTCTGGTAAGTCATGAAAGAGTTTATTAGGTCAACATTTTTCCAGTGATGAGTACTAAGGTAGGTTTTTTAAAATTTATTGGAAGTATTGACTTTAAAATTCTTGCCTCTGTAATTAATAGGATTATTTTAATAAATTTATTTTGATTTGACTTAAATTGAAATTTAAGATTAGTGATAAAAAATATGGGAAGTGGTCATTTACTAATCATTCATAAAGTATGCCTAAACTCTGAATTGGTATAGAAACTTTTCATTGTTCGGAAAATGGACATCCTATTGTTGAAAAGACTTAGATTGTTTTGGTACGATATGCTACAATTCATTAATCAGTCAATATAACACTTCAAATGATGTGATTTGCATTGAAGACATTTTAATAAAATTCAAAAATTATTTGACAGGATCCCTCAACAGCAATGAATTTATGGTTTCGATGTGTTGACGTGTTCACAGATGTCAACGTGTTGCGGGCGTGTCTTTGCGCCTGGGGTTTCCAGTTGTGGCGACGTTTGTCTCCCGCTGACAAAGGTGCCCCACAAGCACCGCCGTTGTTAGGGCGAGCGGGAGGGGTGTCCAAATCCTCCTTGACCGGCTCCACAAATGGCCGCCGGGAGTAGCCTTTTTGGACCGGGCTACCTTGGAGGAATGCCGGCCAGGGGGAAATCACAGAATTGTTCTCGCTAGGAAGGGGAATGAAGTATCGGCGGCAATGGGCCGAATCCGATTCTAGCTGGCCGAAAGCCCCTCTTCGGATAAATCGTAAACAGAACTGCTTAAGACAGGAGGCACTTTCTGCATAAAGACTAGATGTTGTACCGTTATGTTATTTTGGTCTGTGGGATACTTAGTGAATCTAGTAGGGCGAATCTTGGAGTCCAAAAAAAAATTGAAATACTTCGATCGTACATACGATCTGTACATGATAATGTATTATTTTTTCCTGAACATTTATCATGTTTACTTCTTAATGCTTACTATTTAATAAATAAATGGAGAGTAAACAGTTGCGGGAGAAAAATTAAAAGGGAGGGAATTCGATATTCCCAGCTTCTTTGTGATGTTGAGCGCACGCCTTCGCCCTCGTGTTTGGGTGTCTGATAGTTTGAGCCCGACGCGACGGCGGCGGCGCGGAGGCGGGGCGGGAGGGGAGGGGGCGGAGAAAGAGACGGCAGGTGCTGCCCCTCTCCCCTCCCTGCCGTGGCCGCGGCTGCGCCAAACAAGGTTTTGTTCTGGGGCAGGTGGGCCGGCGCTGCCAGCGAGCGCACCCTCGCGGTCGCTATGCACACCTCCGAGGCAAGGGGCTGTGGAGGCCTATCATCGACCATTGAACAATCAAAGGTACCATGAATCTCTGTTAATTAAAGCAACGAAGTCGATTGCACTCATTGGTGTTAAATACTTTTAATGCATTAATGTTAGAATATAAATAATTTATTATTGGAATATACAATTTTTCACGTAGAATTGTTGTAAATAACGAGCTCAATTCTGAAGTTTCTTCCCCTAGAGCCTCTGTACGTTAGGCCTTCAATAAATCCAAATTCTTGTCTGTGTCATCTAATTCCCAATAACCAATAAACTTATTCGTTTTGCTGTATTTAAACATTTTTCTATATACCATTCAATTCTGTTTTAAGGGATTCGCAAGTGGCTATAAAAAGAATGCAAATCAAATAAACTTCGTGTTGCATAAGAGCGGGTTTCCTAATTTTGGCTCCCATTTGGTTATTTAGAGTAATTATTATTGGAATGCCGATGAGGTGTTGTTGACATTATTCAAGGATGTACTAAAGAAGTCATCTCTGTCAACTTAATAAATCTAAGAGAGTCGGCTTTGCTTTCATCATTAGTATAGAAATATATAAAATAAATGCAAAATCGTACTAAATAATAAACAAAAAGGTAATACAAATTATGAACTTAACACAAGCACATTTTTAACTATAGTTTTTCAAAAATAAAAAAGGGGATAATACAAATAAAGAAATAGAAATAGATATTCTTCCAGACCATGAATCATATATATGATCTGAATTTACAAACAGACTAATTTTTGAAAAATTCAAATAGAAGACTTTTGAATTTAAGGCTTGTAAACCATCTTACTTAACGTAGAAAGTGAAGGAAAAATCAGTATGCACAGTGTGCAAATGTTTCTGAGAATTTTCACAACTATATTTTTTCTAGTTTACACAAATTTACCTATGATTTAAATCACATGATTTTTCACAATTCACTGATTTAAATTATCTAAATTTTTTCTATTTTTCATCATTCATTGCTCATAATTCAAGTTTTTTATTAATAAAAAGTATGTTTTCACGAAATTAATGTATGTAAATAAAATATACATTTACAATAATTTTAAAATAAATAAAAATTAAATATACTTGGTTAGATACTATTTAAATTAATAAATCTTTTAGTTATGAGCTGAAAGGTGCTAATCTTCTATACAGTCACATAAACGTGTGTGCTACTGTGTTAAGCATAAATAGATTTTGTGTTTATTTAATATCTAATATTAATAATTAATAAATCTTAATAAATTTTAAATATTAATAATATATTATTATTAAATGCTCTAATAAATTGAGAATTCAAATATTTTTCAAGAACCATTTAAATATTACATTGTATATTTGTACAATGTATACAAAAGTACATATTGTGAATAATGTTTGATAAAAATACAATTTTTTAAATTAAAAATTACATGATTTTTTCTATCCCTTAAAAAGTAGTACGGTTTTACTTGCGAGAAACCGTTCTGTGTCAGAAGTAGCTGCTCTGGGAAACTGAGATGAAAAGGAGAGAAGCGCCGTCTCTCTTCAGAGGGGTGTGGGTTTGACTTCCCTCACCTTTTAGGTGTACACACGTATTTGTCTGAGTAACTTGTGTTACCAGTTTAGACAAATGAAAAGTGTGCAATCCACTTCCCCTTTCGATCCGCAACGACCATGAAGGAAAGTATGGTGCTGTGTGGCCCGTAGCTGGTCTAAAAACATTACACAAAATGAATGTGAATTTTCAAAAAAATGTTCATTGGATATACCGTTTTTTTCTCACGTAGGTTACAAATTGTCCAATATCTTGAACCTATAATTAGGAGATGTTCCTGCGGAGGCGCGGTGTGCACGAGTGTTGTGTGCGCATGCGCCGTGTGAGGTGCCCCATGCGAGTGGGGCCGGCGGCAAAGCTCTTCCGAAGGCTTCAC